TATTAAAAATGTTTTTATACAACTAGCTATAGCATATAGATAAGCATAAGACAGGTTGTCCAATCTCCACCTGACTGTAAAAGGTCTTAAATAACCTTGTCTAAATTCAGTGTTGAGTCTGCTTTGAGCAGGTGGCCCAACAAGTCCTGGAGTTCCTCCTAGCCCAGATGATTCTGTGAAGTGGAATAGAAAGATAAAGTATTTTTGGCAAAAGTGTTCACAGGAACGGTTTCTCCTTCTTATTTTAGGTGCAAAACAGTGGAATATTATGTTTCGGGATAATTCAATGGCAGCAATCCACTTTGTGTACAAAGGGGAAAAAGAAACATTTCACTAAAAAACCTGGTTTCAAGTCCATCTTCTTTTCCAGGAGGCTGCTCTAAACTCACAAAACCTTGCTTCAAATGCTACTTGAGCACATGCTTTCAGCCCGTTAATTACATCTCAAAAATGAACATTTCCCCTACATTTATCAGGCCTCACCTACACAGTTATTGGGCTTAGTACAGAACAGTATGTCTAACAAATATCATAAAGGTTCTCCTCAGATAAAATAGTTTCACATTGTTAAACTATTTTCCTCCATTGACTAATTTCTATTTTTACTGTATTTCATTAAATGATAATTACATGGAAAATTAGAAAGTCTAGAGCCCTTCGCGTGGTTGCATCAGATATCGATTTACCTCTCCTTTTCAGAAGGCTTTTAATAACTCTCTAGCATTTTAGCATGAAAAAATATAACATTCAGCAAGGAAGCATAGCTCTCTCCATTTAAAGATAAAAATCAACAAGGTTTGTCTTCAGAGGATGGCAAATTTGCCAAAAGTTGTTGTTTTTTTTTTCCCCTGTAAAAATTTGTTTTAAACTTCAGCAACATTGTCACACTGAACCAGAATGAATTCCCATGTGGTTATGGGTGGCTAAATATTTCAAGAGAATGTAAGAGAAATGATCCCACAGAGCACTTTATGTTAAATCTGCCTTGTCACACATGAAAGGAGGGGAAGAATGTAGCGTGCTAATAACTAGAAATCCCCATTTATTTACACTATAAAAATGCTTAATTAATAAATAACAATAAAAGTAAGGTGCTTTTGGTTTCAGAGAATGAGGTCCTTCAGAGCCAAGTCATCAGAAAGACATTAAAACAATGAATACATGGAAAACTAAATCTGTATTGGAGAAGAGGTCACCTGGACCATGCCTATGCTTGGAGCTTCAGGATTGCAACTGCTGTAAAAACTCCATTTGGAGGCCGGGACACCCACTGTATGAAATAGTAACTTCGAATATACTTCTCCAAACCAGAACAGAAATAATCTTCAAGAAAACATCAGTGGATCATAAACAAAAACAAGGCTACTCCTCCCTGCTAATCAACCAAAACAAAGAGGGACATGTCAAAGAGCTTATTCCATGTGACTGCTTTATCCTCACGTGCAAACAGGGGTGCACAGACTAAATAAAAACATATAATTTTAGGGTGTTTTTGGCTTATTCACAGAGAGTGAGTAAAGCATTTGGACAAAAAATAACAGCTATAAATTCTACCTCAGATGCTGACTACATCAGCAGAGATTCTGGCAGTCTAATTGTCTCTTGAAGCAACACAGTAACAGATGCAGAAGGAAGCACTTGCAAACATAAGTGAAGAGGAAGAAAATAACTCTTCAGTACTGAAAGAGTTTTTTTAAAGATTAAAGAACAGTGGGACAAAAAAAAAAAAAAAAGATAAAATTTCCACAGAAGCTCATAAATAAATGTTCCTACAGCATAGCTCAAGAGCCACTTGAAGGCTGCATTTTTTCTCAATGAAGCCCCCAAAACATACTTCAGTTATGTCTACTCTATTAAAAGTAATATATATGTACTCTTTCGTGCTGCATTAAGTCACCAATTATGAGAAGAACCTCAGCAACCATAGTTTATAATCTATATTTAAAATTAACCAGAGACATTTAAACTAGATTTTATCTAGCTTCCCCCATATTTACTTAAACTCAATAATTAATATCAGCTATTGCTCAGAAGTTAAATGATAGATAAAAGTCACAAGTCAGCAGCTTTGACGATTTATTTAGGAACCTCAGCTAATTCAGTGCAGAAGGAATACTAAGATCACATTTAGAGAAAATAAAAGATTACGGCTGTTTTTCACTGTGTCTAAAAGGTATATCGTCATAGGCAAATTGTGGAGATAGATATGAAATTGAAATATGACACAACTAAAGGTTTTTCAAATATGTGATAGAATTAATGCCTTCAAACAAGGCAAATCCTTCAATGTGAACAAAAGGAGAAAATTTAATTAAAAATATTCAATCAAGAGAAGTATGAATTTTTAGAGAAAAATGTGGACCTTAAGTTAACCGCATCACTACACGATTCAAGTATGTTGAAGAAAAGTGTTATTATAAGAGATCTATTAAAACAGAAAAGCTTAAGAGAGCTCCTCAGAGAAATTAAAAAAAAAATAAAATATTTAGAAGCATTTAAAAGTTAACTCTTAAAAGTTATGCCAGATGCCATTCCAAAGGTGATGGAATATTCACTTAACCTTTTTCTTCCTTTGAGAGAAATGTGAAAATTATCAAGTACTACCTAAAGAAAAGGATTTCTTTCTCTCACAGCTACGTGGACAATACAGGATTGGCAATCAGTCCAGCACAACCTTGAATTATTCACTTCAACCTACATTAAATTTACTTTTCTTGAATACTTCACCTGCAGGCATGCCAGATTTATAACCTGCAGCAGAGGAAATCCAAGAAATTTTCCCCGGACTTCATAAAATAAATATTCTTAAACTCTTGCCCATGAACCAGTGGTGGATTTCAGTGCATTATTAGTGGTCCTATAGGACCAGGCAGAATTTATGCACTTGATCTCCATGCTTGTAAATTCTGAGCTTAGTTAAAACAAACAAATGGACAAACAAACAAAACCCAAAATACATTTACTATTTTTGAACTGACATTTGCTGTACCGATTATAGAAATCTTACAGCATTGCAAAAGGAAAGGATGAAATCCACAGGACTTTAATCAAGTGAGGGTCATTTTATGAAATTAAAATTCCAAAACATCTGTATTAGAAAGAAAATTTGGACAAAATTCTAGTCTTTTTTTGGACTTCTTTAATCTACAGAATGCTAGTTGAGAATTTTGTGCAATTTTTATGTGATTGAAACAATCATGCATGGAACAATGAAAAATCTATTACAACATGCATCTTAGAGAAGAGATATGAAAAACATCAAACTGGTATAGTGGAACATTAATTAAATACATATGAATATAATGAATGGAAATTTGATGAATGAAAGATATAATATCATCAGCCTAAAACATAATATATCTTAACTATAATCTGCCATACGTGCAAGAGTCGAGGCTAAAGCTGCATGGCAAATTTCTGTATGGGATTTTCTGATTTTATTTTGTTTTATCTGAACCTTTAACTTCTCCAGACCATAGCTGTGATACTAATTACATACATTTCACTTCAAAGAGTTCTAGCTGTATATACCAGGATGTTAAGACAGAAACAAAAAAACCCTTTGTTTTTGTTTTATGCTACTATCTTAAGTGTTAGAACTAAAAAGAGATGTGACACCTTTGTCCTGCTTGCATCCTGAAACTGATTTTAACAGAATCAGTCTCAGCTCTTGCCTAAGCCTTGAGTTGAGTAAAATGCAGATTCAACCTCAAAGCACAGCAACAACGGACTAATTTTCCTTTATTCTTTCTCCCAAGATTCCCGGACTTGGCCTACCTTGACCGCACAGACGGGACTTATAAACAATACTTTGTTGTGGGAAGGGTAAGCATGATGAACTACTCCTCTCTCTTGTCCCACATTTTTTGTGGAATAAATAAGCATTAGGTGTGCCAGAGGAAGGGAAAGTCAATCTAATTTAACAATTAGCTCCTTTCACGCATGGGTTCTAGTCTTTTCTCTTCTGAGCACTTACTAGTTTTCTAAATTTTCCTGTGGAAACAAGTTTCAATAAAGCTAATGATTGCTCTTCATTAATAAAAGCAATCTGAAAATTTTAATAGGCTACAACAAGATTTTCTTCTGCTTTAGAGCAAATATGAAACTTTATCATTTCCTGTTCTTAAATATTCTTAATTCTTAGGAGTTTGGCTTTTTCAAAAGGATTAAAACCAGCTAACTTCTGTCTCCTTTGAGAAATGTAAAGTACCATAACATATATGAGAAAGGCAGTTTTGGATCAACCATGATACCTATGTTACAAAAGAACTCTTCCATCTAAGAATATACCATAGCAATTATTGACTATTGTCATATATTTCTAATTTTGCCTCCAAAAGTTGAACACTATGTATATAAATGAAATAATTTAGTGGTATTCCACTTAAGCCTAAGCATTCAGTGTCTGATTCTTCTTCTCTGACATCATTATTGTATAAGTATATTCCAAGAAAGTGATACTTCTCTCAGATTTGTAATATGAGTGAGCCTTTAATATTGTTATGTGAAATTAATTCATATACAGAAGATGTGGGCAGTACTGGGATAGAGGAATTTGCTTTCCCTTTCACAATCCACACAACAAGTATTACATATTCAGAAGTTTATTTTAATGAATATGGACTGATCTGAGACTACCAATGCTTTTCACAGTGAACTATAAAAAGCTACAAAACCTCAGGTTAAGTTCCATGCATTATGATCATGGAGACTACCATGAGAGACCAAAAAAATAATGAATTAAAAGTATTGACAGAAGAATCCTGACTCCACCAAAGTCAATGTTCCTATTAATTTTGATGCAAATTTGGGCAAGAATAATAACGTGGTATTTGGGAGTTGGTTTTTATTATTATTATTTAATCAGTCTTTCATTGAATACACTTCAGCTCAATAATTAGTTGCTTCCTCCTTTAGGAACCATATTAGCTGTCCAATTAATTTATAAGACAGGAAGGCAGACACCAATGCTGAGAATTTGTTGATTGCTGTGTACGTACCACCTTTCATCATTCCCACTTCGTAGCATTTTCTTAGTCGGCAAGCCTGGCAACTTTTTCTTCTGTTCTTGTCAATGGTGCACTGGTTAGTAGCAGGACACATGTAGTCATTGTGCCCTGTAAAAACAGAGGGAAAGTAAGGACACAGTTAAACTCAAACATAACAAAACTGCCTATAATATTCTTTTACTTTTAACTGAGTATTTAGTGCAGCATCTAACATTTGGAGAAGAAAGTAGGGTTACCGTCACAATCTATCATAAAAGTACTGACACGGGTAGTGAAACTAACATCTATTCACAATACATTTATTTGCAAGTTCTTTAAAAGTATTATTAAAATCACAAATTACAACTTCTGTAGAATAATTAAAATAATGAACAACTAAAGCAGTCACAAAAGATAATAGATTAATATGAACAAGTCCCTTGACTTCCTTGCTCCTAGCCTAAGAAATACAATGCCATCTGGTCCATGTGCCTGTCTTGATGTTGCTGTTTAACCAATAGATTGCACAAAATGGTTAGAGGTTTATAGATTTAAAAACACCTGTGAACAAAACATTTTTAATATCTACCACAATCTGGGGCAGTTAAGAAACAAACAACAGCATAAAATAGAAACACCAACCATTAATTACAATTATTAATTGTATTTCAGGGACAATTCAGTTTCTAATTCCAATTACATGTCTACTGATATGTGCGAAAACTTTTTGGCATGACAAAATCTTAAATTACCATATCCTGCAACCGAGTTGGGTACAGGTACCTTTTCCTTCAGAGCTTCACTTCCTCATTACCCTCTACATCTCAAATCCTGTTACAAACATTCAATCTTCTATTCAAATTTTCTCTTAAAAAATGTGTGTTTAAACCTGCTATAAAATTATTTTCCAACCATAGACAAAGTTTAGCAAGGATAAAAAGGCCTATCTAAAATGATCTTATTGCTATTCTGTATTCTTCTAAACACAACTAAGGTACAGTACACAACGAAACAATTTTACTGCAGAACTGTTTGTTCTTTCTTTCAGGTCAAGGGATCAGCTTGAGGTAGAGTAGGGTGGAGATTTGACAGAGGCCTTGGTCTCATCAAATCATCTATCCTTGACTAGAAATTAGAAAATAAAGTAAAAATTACTATCAAATTACACCAGGAACATCTGCTCTCTAAGGCTACAGAACTGGGATCCAATCAAAATAAGCAGACAAACTGTAAACTTGTTAACATGGTGACAGCTGATTACACACTGTCTCAAATAGACAGGATTATTATTTTTTAGTTCTACTTGATAGAACAGTATAATACTGGAAAAATCTGAACCCACAGGCTTTGCTCCAGGTCTGAGGTAAACAGGTAGAACAGAAACACCACCTCAACCTCAGCATGAAAGACTGTTTTAATTTTCAGTTCCTCTGGTAGGAAACAGACTGTTCTAGATCTAATTTGAAATATTTCACGTGGAAGGAGACACTCTTCTAGACCTAATTTGAAATATTTCACGTGGAAGGAGAAAAAAAATCGAGTCAGAAAGAAAAGAGCCTCAACAATAGAAAAATGCAATAGCTACAGGGAACCAAGGAGCAAAAAGGGAAAGACATGTTTTTAAGAAAATGCACTTTTATTAGGTCACACGAAACAGCAGCAGATTGTAGTGTCTGACCTCAACTGCCAGCCTTGTTTTATAAGCCAAGATCTGAAATAGCATGAGAGAAAGATGGAAAACTCTGATTACTCTTTTTAAAAACTAAGACTTTGACAGAGTATCTGATCTTCTTTCTAGTGAAGTTAAAAGGTAAATTTACAAGGGGAAGAAGCGCAGGCTCTGAATTCACAAATTATTCCGAACACCATTTAGCTCTCTGTAAAATAAGCAGATAAATGTTACCACTTAGGTAAAAGCTGAAGACATGCTTACCACCTTTGCCAGACCAGCTGACGTGCATAAGGTTCAACTCTCAGAAAAAAAAAGTGACAATATGCAAACATAAAAAATCAAGCGGAATCAGTATCAGCAGGACAGCCATCCTGCTCCACAGTGCTTAAGCAGGTGCTAACCTTTTCTTTTGCTCTGAACCCAGATTTCCTTACACAAACTGCAAGTGTTTGGGAATAGGCATTTGGTTTCTAGAATAGTACATAAAAGAATCCTGTTTGTGATAGAGCTACAGTCCCTACTGACAATAACATGATTCATATTTTCACAATTTTGCATTTAAAAGTTTTATCTTAAATATACACTTTAAAGGTTAGCATTATTAGTCTGTTTTTATGCACACAATCTTCTTTCAGAGTACTTGACAGACTTCACAGAATAAAACCCGTGAAATTTTTAACACAAAACAAGAAATATTTGTGTGTGAGGGGCATATTTATTCAGATTACTAGTGCCATAGTAATGTCATTGTTTAGACTTCATATTTGCTGTACATCTAAGAAGATGATAACGCATTTAATATTTCTCATAATTTTGGGTTTAGCTTAACCAACATACGTTCGGGAAACAGGAAAATGTAAGCAACCAGAAGAAAATATTTGATAATTGGAGTATACGGTAGAAATTATTATCAAATTAATCAGGGAAGAAGAAAGAAACAAAGAGAAGAAGGAAAGCAGGTACCTTTCCTGCTTCTCCACGATACCATCTGATTTCAAGCATTCAGTCACAGGAAGTGAGGAAGAAATTTTCTTTTGCAAGGCACAGACACAGACTAGGGCCATGTAGCTTAGAGTGGCATGGAAGGGAAAAGGTAGACAAACACATTTAAGGAATAAGTAAAACACAAAAGTTTTATTTTAAAGTGAAATAGTACAACTCAATAACTCTGCTGTAAAGTGAATTGTCTCTTAACTACTCTACCTTTTATTTTATCCCTAAAGCTCCTCTCTCAGCAAGATTCTGAACAATCTGACTTATTAGAAGGGATTTCTCAGTGGTGGGAAGCGTCAGCATGAAAGTGGGACACATCAACAAGTGCCCAGTTGTCCTGCGCTTTTTTTGTCATGGTATCCAAAGAATAATACATGCTAGAAGAGAGGCTAGTTAGGCCATTTGCATAGTTGATATCATAGGAATACTGAAAGGAAAAAATGTCTTCAATGATCACTGATACTCATCAAGGGAATCACATGCCACTTGGACTCTGTAGTCCGACTGTTTTTTTTTTTTAATAAATGATCAGATAACCTGCAAAAAAATGAAAGGCAGTGAGTTTAATAGGGTAGAACCCCTAGTTTTAATCCCGCGATATGTATGACCTGCACTGTCACGAGCTACAAAGGAAGAGTTTAAGGGAACTACTGGAGGAGCTTGAGGAGAGGTGGTCTGTTTTTCATATGATATCTCATACATTTTACATTTTAAAACAGTAAAAATTACATTAAGTATTTTATTTATTTAGCACTTTATTATACGCTAAGTTCTTCCCAGATCAGAGTGCAAAGATCTGGCTCTTTTCTCAAAGCACTAATTTTAGATGTGACAATCTGTATGATGATGACGACCAACAATGCAGAGGGGAAGGATGAGGAAGCAGAGTGCCAACAAGAAGATAATGTCTGAAATTAAGATGCTTTTAGGTTTATTCTACCCCAGTCTATCGTAATCAGAGCTTTTTCTTAGTGCACATGCAGTCTGACTTTCATCACTGTGATTCACGTGGCTAGTATTATTGTTCAGATACTCATCGCTGTCCGTCTGAGGGTCCTCAAGATAGCTATGGTATATGCAACAGCAGTGCATGCTTGAATCAGAGTGGGTGGATGATTTATCTGTGAGGGCTTCAGTCAGCCAAACACTCCATATTTCTTTAAAGTTAAGTGTTACTATATTCAGCAGAACATTTAAGCATCTGTGTACTTCCAGCAAGTAGTCCCAGCACAGTATATATGGTTAAAGTCAAGTACATGCTTGAGTGTTTCACTGAATTGCAACTTTGAAGAGCTGAGTTGATTTTGTCCATGGCCAGCAAGGATTAAAACTGGAGTCATATTAATATATCATAGGCAATTAAAGTAACTCAGAAATAATTTTTTTCTTAAATATGTAAGCAGTTGCCATATTATATTCCAATAAACACCAAGATTAGCCTGAGGGAATGATTAGTTTAAGCAATACAAAAGTTGTACAAAAAAATGAACTAAAGATACTGACATGTTGGCATGCAAGTTTAAGAATGCTTAATGAAAAGCCAATAAAGGAATATTTTTGTCAGGTGAATTTTAGATGACACCTAAACTGGTGTAGTTGAATTACTCATCATACATTTCAAACAAAGCCAGTAATTATTATTATCCTTTTTACTAATACATGCTTTTCCTTTAATTAATCTTTTATTTTCAATCCTCATGTCACACAAATTTCTAAAACTATCCTTTATCTACCTGCATAAGGCATCTGCCAGGTTACCTGTTACCTGTGAAAGCACCAGGTCCTTCTGTGATCTTATTCTGATAGCGAAATTAACAGAATTTCATACATGTAGGTGAAGGGAAGGCTAGAGTGTAGACTTTATCCACACCTTACGGTGCCAAGCAAGTGATGAGTGGGAAGACTGCAGATGAAAAGCAAAACTTCAGAAAGAATAGCCTCAACAGCAAGTGGAAAATTTTCATAAACAGTAAAAATTTAAAAAACTAGCCCCCGGACATTGCGTATGCTAACCCAGTATGAACAAATATTGAATGCAAAATAAAAAGTTATACAAATTTTAAGTTAAAGTGTCCCATAAAACCACACTGATTGATCTTAAAATCCCACTCTATAACAGGTTTCACAAAAGAACAGAAGGTTATGTCTAACTCCTTTATAAGCACAGACACTCAAATTCATGGCTTAATTATCCTCAGACAAGGTCTTTGGATTTGGAGCTTGGATTATTTTAGGAACTACCCATCCCTGCTGTGAAGACGAATCATTTTCTGTTTTTAAACTAGCAAGATATTATTACATGTGACAGTAAGGAAAAGGGCCTAGAAGATTTTAAAACATACGTCCTTTGCATCCAGCGAGGAAGGCATCCTTCTATGCATACCTTGGAAAGATCACAGAACCACTGAAGAATGAGAAAGGAGGAAAGGTTTAAATCTATATACTCTGTATTATGTCCTTCAGC